CTGGCTGAGGAATTCTGGGAGTTGAAGTCCACGAGTGATGAAGGGGCCATAGTTCCCCCCATGCTGGCTGAGGAATTCTGGGAGTTGAAGTCCACGAGTCATGAAGGGGCCATAGTTCCCCCCATGCTGGCTGAGGAATTCTGGGAGTTGAAGTCCACCAGTCATGAAGGGGCCATAGTTCCCCCATGCTGGCTCAGGAATTCTGGGAGTTGAAGTCCACAAGTCATAAAAGCCAAGGTTGCCTACCCCTGGTTTAAGTGAACACAGTGGTCACAAAAGGTGAATCTGGTATTTCGCCATGGCTGCCCTTTGGCCCAAAACTCAAATCAAATCCTAGTTTTGGCCAAAACGGTCATAAAACTGTGTCAAATGGCGACGGGATGCTGGCAAGAGTCTCAAATCCATGACTACGATGGGGGAGGGCGGCTGCAGGAACTTCGAACTCGGTCGTAAGTCCCATTTTTCAGGTAGGTCGTAAACCGAGGACCACCTGTATCGTGTAACATTCCACAATATTTGCAAAAAAAGAGGCTTTTCCAGAATTCTCTCTTTTGGAAAAGGCATTTTTGTAAGTTGCTGTTAAGTCTGCTGACTTCCGGAGCCCATTTCAGCCCCCCCCCTTAGTGTTGGTGCGAAATACGATCTGTGTGTACCCAGAAGTCAAAGGGTGACCCTCAAGGGGGGGGAGAGATCCTCTGGGCAGGCCTGGAGGGGTCAGCCACAGAGAAGGAAGTTGGCCCTTTGATCAGGACTACCAACAAGGCCTGTAATGCTGGTGAGACAAGACTATTAAGCTTTCTTAGTAATTACCGTACTTTCTTAATATTCTTAAATAAGCTTTGTTAACATTTCTTAGTTCCATAAATAATGTAGTTGAGGTTCCTGGACACGTTTCTGAGTTTCCTGTAAATCAACGGTGTCCAACAGCTTCTAAGACTTGTGGACTTCAACACCCAGAATTCCCCAGTCAGCCAGGTCGGCTAGGGAATTCTGGGAATGGAAGTCCAAAAGTCTTAAGACTTGGCTGGGGAATTCTGGGAATTGAAGTCTACAGGTCTTGAAACTGCCAAGGTTGGA